TTTGTGTTCTCCCAACAAAGCTAGCATTTTTTCCATCATCTCAGAGGGTCTGTTATCGCCCAGTTCTTTTATGCTCAATAAGGCTGCTGCTTTTTCTTCCTCCGATAAGCTATAGGCCTCTGTAAGGAGGTGAGGAAATTATGGATAGGGATCTTGCTGCTGTAGCTGCATCAAGCGCCGCTACGACGTAGTAGTATTTTGTCTCGTCAGTTGCGATCCCACGCAAAGCAAATTGGGCCTCTATTTGTGCGAACCACGTGGAAGGACACGAAGTCCAGAACGTAGGAAGTTTGAGTGACTCCTTACCCCAGCCCCATTTTGAGTTGCTGACAGCACCGATCACCTTCATTTTTGAGGTTGCAATGGTATCTTTTTCCCTTCGATCTGAATTATTGGTTGCCGCGTTGCCTCCTTCACCCATGTTGAGAAGAAGCACACCTCAGTCTTGGTTGCATTCAAAGTAAGTTTCCATTCATTGCTCCATTTCACAGCCATGTCCACAATCAACTGTGTCGCCTTTTCTCTTTTTGCGTGACTAGCCAATATTGTGCAGTCATCAGCGAACATGGAGTAGATCAGCCTGGCGAAGACAGTTGTTGTGTGTCAGGGTTTGGGAGGGATTCTGCGAGGTTGTTTATGAAGAATATAAACAGCAGCGGTGATAGTACAGCTCCTTGGGGAAGCCCTTGTTTGAAATTCTGGCTTTTGCTTATTTCTCCATTCAGGCGAACACGGGCTTGTCTGTTTCTCAGGAAACCATGGATCCATCTGACTGCACGCAACGGAACTCCCTTGTCAGCCATTGACAGTAATAGTCTTTCATGCCTTGGAGTAGTCCAGCAGGACTAGCACTGATCGATGGAATTTTGGCTTTTGTTGAAAACCATCCTCAATTCCTTGACAGATTCTGATGATCTGATCAGTGCAGCTATGACCTTGGCGGAAGCCTGACTGAATATCTGCAATCCATTCATTCTTCTATTTACTTTTACTTACTTTTTTTCTTCC